ACCCCAAAACCCCAAAACCCCAAAACCCCAAAACCCCAAAACCCCAATAATTATTAGCAACATTGAAATCAATTTTTACTAATATGGAATCTTATGCAGATGCCAAGGAAGAATCAAAGGATGACTGGGGAGCAGCCAGTCCTGACAGGAAGGATGACCAAGAAGAAAGTGATCAAGATGAAGGTAATTTTGAGAAAGGACAAAGGAGTTATTTTATAGAGCTAATAACACAACCAATCGAAAAGAAGTCAGTAGATAAGCCAAAAGTTGTGATAGTAAGTCGTTTAAAGCAATTTTGTAGGTGCTGTCTCTGAAGAAGTTACTATACCTACCAATTAAAAGAGAAGAATTTAAGAACTTGAATGAAGATGTCGAAGCTATGCTTATGTTTAATAAACATAAGCTTCATTGGTATTGGAGACAACATCTTGCTTCATTTTTGGACATTATTATGAGCCATCCTAGAGCAATTGTTGTGTTGTCTACTACAAAGAAAAAGAAAAATACACATGAAATCATTACAAATCTAAAGCATAATCTTGAAACTTACTCTGATTGGGATGAAAAGACCATAAAAGGAGAGAATAAATTAGAAAAAGTGCTCAAATGGTTTGAGAAGACGATGCTTTACCAAGAAAATCATTGAACTGCATACACAATTCCAGAAACAAAGAGGTATGACTAAATTTCAATATGTTTAGGGAAGAAATGACCAGAGATTTGAACAAAATTGTGTTTGCTTTACAAGAAGCTGTTGACGATGAAGTATTCTCTTGCTAATTTTTAGTCAATATTACTTTCAGAAATATCTCCTGAAGACATTAAAGCTGAGAATATAATCTGTGTAGAAACAGAAGCATTGAAGATGAGTAATTATCTGGTAATTTTGTAGAGAATCATCCTGATCATATGCTTTATGCCCCTGAGATCGATGAAGCTGATGTTGTTGAGAATTACTCTAACAATCATGAAGATGGTAGCTCTCTTGAATAATAATGTAGACGAACAAGTTTTCAAAGATGTAAAAGAATCTAATCAAATTATCGGTACCTCAAATCATTTAATGTGTAGAATCTTTATTCAGAGCTCTTAATGACTATGATGATATTTCAGCTTTCATAAAGGATAAGACTCTTGGAACTTTTACCAATCAAAACGATACTGGGTATGGCTTGAATCTTTTTTAATTTTAAGTGTAAATTTGTTGCCAAACTTATGAATTGCTTCATGACAATCCAAATTCTCTATTTAACAAAAATTATAGTGAAGGATATATAAGCACACAGAATATGCTGAGTTACCCTGACATTGATCTCAGCTCCTTGTATAGCCACAAAACTTTGGGGTGGCTGTTTAGTGGAGCCTAAGATATTTTACTAAATTTCAAGGATTATAATTGAAAAAGGGGTTTTGGGGTTTTGGGGTTTTGGGGG